GTTGTACCTTGCAAGGTACACGGAAAAAAATCCCTAAAAAAAATCGTTAAAATAGTTATTACCATTACAATATAGTTACTTAGTTAGTTACTATTTTTTGTATTTTCCGTAGGTATTTTTACTTAAGGAATATTTTCCCTAAATACCGCTTGTGCTTTAAAATTAACCAGATAATTTTTATTTAGGCTTATCATAAGCTTATAATTCTACTCTAAACTTTGAGCTCAGCACAAAAATAGTCACCCCCGAGCGAGGGACAACAATTTTACATTAGCAAGAGTTGTTGTACCTTGCAAGGTACACGGAAAAAAATCCCTTACTAGGTTTAAGAATAGTTCTATACTTCATGTTAGGAACTTGATTTAAGTATATATATTATTTCTATGAGATTAGCGTACATTTAAACTAAGTAATGGGATATACTTAATTTTTAAGAAAAACTGTTACTTGATTTGAGATGAGTATTCTTGGATTGAGTTTAAAGGTATTTTATTTTAAAGAAAATTGGTATACTTAAATCAAATATACAATAATACTTAGATGAAAGACCTCTATAGTTGTTTACTCAAAGCGGAATATTGCCACTTGATTTAAGTATTCTGTATATTTGTATGAAATTTCGGTATACTTTATTTAAATATATGTATATTTAATACAAGAACGCTTATACTTTAATTTAAGTATAAGACTAGAACAAAGAATACACTATTCTGTATTTAAGTATAGCTATTATTAAAACAAATACCTTATTCTTCGCTTAAGTAAATACCGTCCACCCTCTAAGACCGCTTCGCTAAAAGAAAAGACGCAGTTTCTGTCACAGAAATTATGTGTTCAGTTCTGTCCTGTGTTCTTCGGTCTGGATGTTATTTTTAATAAAAAATAATGGAGAAGAAACTTAAAAATTGGGGCTTAGAATGTTTACTAGACACATTTTTGGGTAAGTAAATAATATTTCATTAATTTAAAGTAATTAACTAGGCATGATCGTAAAAATGTAGTGTAAAATGGATAGGTATACTGTAGTGTAAAATGGATAGCATACGACAGGTAATAGACAATAAAACATAAACAGCAGAAAGGCTATAGCCTCCAATTCAGCTATATTATTTTTGTTTTAGAAAACGAGATAGATATCGATATTATGGTAAACCTAAGCGAGGAGAATTTAAAGGAATTAATTCCAAAAATAGGATTGAGGATCAAGTGTAGAGAAAAAATTGAAGAATTAACACCAAACCATCTACGATGATAATGGTAGCCTTCTTAGAAACTCATTTTACATATTATTTAGCTGGAGATAAATTTTACTGACAATAAAAATACCTACTTAAAAAAATATTAACTATTGTGATTAAAAAACCTTACCTTTACATATAGCACCAAAAATGTGATACCTAGGTACTTAAAAAAATAAAATGTAAAATATAGTATCTATAGATATATATATTAGGGTGGTCCTTAGCTATAGAGGTAAAAGATATACTTTTAATATTAAATTGTCCCACCCCCCCCATTTTGTTATAACACAAGAGAAAAAAAATTACACAAAAATTTGAATGGCCAACTCAACCCCTTCACGTGCCTGTAAGGGGTTGAATTTTGACAAAATCCCCAATTTTTAAGGTTTTTGCCATTTACTCCGCAAAAATCGCATATCTCAAAAAATTTTACCCATTAAAATCTTTTCGTCTATTAAAGGTCTATAAAAATTGTCTCTTGAGATTTTATCCTAGAAAGCACCATTTCGTGGAAAATTGCATTTGTGCATAATTACCACAAATTTAAGGTTTGTGTAGGAAATGGTGCTTTCTAGGATAAAATCTCAAGAGACAATTTTTATAGACCTTTAATAGACGAAAAGATTTTAATGAGTAAAATTTTTTGAGATATGCGATTTTTGCGGAGTAAATGGCAAAAACCTTAAAAATTGGGGATTTTGTCAAAATTCAACCCCTCACAGGCACGTGAAGGGGTTGAGTTGGCCATTCAAATTTTTGTGTAATTTTTTTTCTCTTGTGTTATAACAAAATGGGGGGGGTGGGACAATTCAATATTAAAAGTATATCTTTTACCTCTATAGCTAAGGACCACCCTAATATATATGTTAATTAACCGTGAAAGAATGAATTTATATAAATTGACAGTACTTTTTCTAATACCTCTAAGACTGTTAGGTAATAAACCTATTGTGACATCAGTGCCTATTATATATAATAAGTATAAGTATACTTAGTACTTTAGTACATTAAAATAATTAAAATAATATGCCAAAAATACTGTTAAATTACTGTCATAGCGATTATATTTTCACTTTCACTTGTATTTTCCGTAGTAGTAGAATAATTAATACAAATATTTTTCAGGGTCACGAATGTTTTTTTTGTAAAAATTATTCCGAGTAGCTAGACGAGGGAATTTTTTTTTCTAATCAACCACTTTCTTTAAGAATTGTGTAAAGTTATTTTAAATATATACTATACTTTTATCAAATATAAAAAAAGGAAAAGTAAGAATACAAGCATTTTATGCAAGTAAAGCGTGTACTTACAATAAGTATAAATAAATAAATTTTAAAGAAAGTATATTCTTAAATCAAGAATAATGTAAAGATTTTACAAAGAAACTATACTTTGATGAAGTACATACTAACGTTACAACAAGAATACCGTAGTCTTCATTGAAGACAAATTTGTATACTTAACTCAAAATTAGTGTGTTTCTTATTTTTAGTATAGCAGTAATCTTAGATTAAACCGAAGCTATCTTTATTTTATAAGAATATGAGGATACTTGAAACAAGTATAAATTTACTTGCGGAATAGGGAAACTAAGCTATACTTGGATAGAGTTGAATTTTCTTGGAATCAGTATAGATTTTTTTCCGTGTGTCTAGCCGTATTTGATTTTGTAGGAAAAAGATTTACTTCGCGCTTGTCCAACCATTCCTTTAACAAACTATAGGTTTTCATTTTCATATCGCTCTTTCGATTTTTAAGGAAGGAAATTAATTGCCTCTTTAGCAAGATCTTGCGGAAGGTCTTCTTCGCTAGAACTCATTTTCAAAACGTAGGAAGAATTTCAAATTTATGATAAATATTCTGACAGCTTATAAAAACTGTTATGATTGTATTACCAAAAATACCATAGCAAGAAACCGTTGTCAACATAACGTCGGCGACGCAACACCTACTTAATATTTTGTCATAATTTTATAGCCCCTTACCGGGTTAGTAAAAGGAACCGGAACGCTTAAAATGTAATAGAAAAAACTATATACATACCTCAGGAGGAAAATCAGTTTCCTCCCTTGAATATTTAATGCCCTTCGCTTCGCGTCGGGCATCAAACTATTCGCGGGAGGAAAAGCACTATTTTTCTCCCATGGTATGTAAATATCTAAAGGGTGGGCCATCTATAAGTTGAATTTTTAACTACGTGCTATTAATGAAGCTTTCAACTTAAGCGCCATGAATTGCTGACAGTGGTTTAGTTTTAACCTTCCGATTACAAAATATGCACCGAATAAATTTGGATCAACGCTTCGAAATACTAAAAACTTACTTTGAATGTGACTGTGATCGCAGAGACGGCAACAAAATTGCGTTTGGAAGAAATGAGGCGCCGTCAAACCAAAGTATTATAAATTTGATCAAAAAATTGCGCAGAAATGGAATGCTGGTGGACATAAAACATGTTTCGCATGCTCGTCCTAGACGTACACCTAAAGCAATCGCTGCTGTGGCCAAAAATGTACGCATGAACGCGTCAACATCAACTCGGCGCAGATGTCAACAACTCGACCTTTCCCGTACCACTCTGAGGATGATTCTGCACAAAGACCTCGCTATGTTTGCGTAGAAAGTCCAGCTTTTTCAGGAGTTAAAGCAAGTTGACCATCCACAACGTTTTCGCTTTGCTGAGTGGGCTTTAAACCAGTTAAACTATGACCCTAATTTTGCAAGAAAAATCATCTTTTCGGATAAGGCGCATTTTTACCTCGGAGGTTATGTCAACAAGCAAAACTGTAGGATTTGGGCCACGGAAAATCCACAAGTCGCCGTAACAAAGCCTATTCACCATTTAAAACAAAACATTCAAACTCAAATTGCCTAAATAGAGCAGCAAACTTTTGACAAAGTGCTCGAAAATTGGTGTTCCAGGATGGGCTACTGCCGAGCCAGCTGAGGTGGCCACTTAAATAAAATCATTTTCCATACTTAATCGGAAGAAATATTGTATCAAATAAAGCAAAATTCGTTGGAAAAAAACAGTTTTTCTTGTTCTCATTGCTATTTTATAATTCAACATAAACATGGCCAACCCTTTATAAATAAAGTCTCTTAAACAAATTTTACCTTATGTGCCAAGGTAACAATTGTTTTTCATTTGTTGCATTTAACTAATTAATTGTTTTAAACTACCACTAAAAAAATTGTGTACATTTAACTGCTTAAAATAATAAAAATGATTCAACTGTTTAACCTTTGGAGTGCATTGTTTTTTTTTACGAAAATATTAAAATTGAATGCTCCTAAATTAACAAGAAAGCAATGCCGTATTCACGAAGTAAGGATGATTAGCGTTTTCAAAACTCGAGGAGTTCGGTCCGCTTAATGAAAAAGTATGAAAAATTATGACTTTTCGATCCAGAAGGGATAAAATTGAATTCCTGGAATAGAAATATTCCTGTATTATTCGATAATATTCCTCGATTGGTCCTTTTTAAAAGGAAAAGAAATATTTAGTTTACTTAAATTTTGGGGACATGGTGGCAATGCAGAATTTGTACCAGCAAAAGTATGCACTCCAAAGGTTGAAAGGGCTTTGTGAAAAGTAAATGCATAGTTATTTAAATATTTTAAGTATTTAAGTATTCCAAAATAGACAAAAAAATAATTACGGGTATTTTTTCAACGTTTAATATTAATTTATTCCATTGTTTCTAAAACAATGTATTTTTGAAACCAAAAGCCATCTAGTTGATAGAAACCCAAGTACTTCGAGGCACCTATTGTGGAAAGAAATCCATAAGCAGGTACCTTTCGTCTAGTCGCAAGGCCATCGACTTGCTGCTTGAACATACTTGATTCATTAGCAAAGAGAACTTGGCCGGAATTTTAAAGAGAAAGTACTTTACAGGCAACATGCTTAGTCGTTAACGAAGTGACAGAAGTTAGAAAATTACTATTAAAATGAATACAAAAAATAATTTATTGTATTATTTAGGTGTAGTTTTAGTGATTTTTATTAGTTCTTCAGAAGGTAAGTTCTTTTTCTTATTGCTCAATCAGTAATTGAAATATTCTTTTACATTTTATAAATAACAGTAACCAAATCCAGGCAAAATTTGTTACTATAACAGAATTAAACCAAGCAATTTTAAGTTAAAATTCTTAACAAAAACTTGACATTACAACCTTTAATAAATAATTTAAATTTAATTAAAATGCATAAGAAAAAATTTACATAAATACAATCAATTTTTTTTAGTGAATTTAGTTATTTGCTACCTTATGTATTTTTTACAACCTTTAAGCAAAAAATAAAATGTTGAATTAAACCAAGTATTTTAAGCAATTTTAAGTTAAAATTCTTAACAAAAACTTGACATTACAACCTTTAATAAATAATTTAAATTTAATTAAAATGCATCAGAAAAAATTTACATAAATAACAATCAATTTTTTTTAGTGAATTTAGTTATTTGCTACCTTATGTATTTTTTACAACCTTTAAGCAAAAAATAAAAGGTTGCACTAATTTACATAACAAACAAGCCCTTACTTAAGGAAATTGTTTTATACAATTATCTATTTAAAAAATATAATAAATTACATGAATTATAAAAGCAAAATACTAGCACATTTAATGTCGTTTTTGCATATTATTTAGTGGTTAATTTACAAAAATAAGTATAAATATAACAAAACGTTTTTAATTAACTAATGTGTTTACGTTAATTAGTCGAACAAAGGTTGGTACCCAATGTAAAAACAAATATGTTTTGCAACACTTATTTTGTTTCTATTTTGATGTCTGAATAATAAAGATTGATTTTTTATTCACGATAGAATAATTAATTGTTTCTACTCCTTTAGCATATTTTTTGTATATTTTTTAAATAGTTGCCTTTTAGGAAGAAACAGTTATTTTAACTTAACTAAAAATTTTATACCTATACAAAAAGGTACCCTAAGTTTAACTTTAAAATACTCTTTAAAGACCAGTCTCATTTTTCAGTTCAATGTCACCTGGGATACCTCTTTCCTTTTGTTTCTATTTTGATGTCTGAATAATAAAGATTGATTTTTTATTTACGATATAATAATTAATTGCTTCTACTCCTTTAGCATATGTTTTGTATATTTTTTAAATAGTTGCCTTTGGAAGAAACAGTTATTTTAACTTACCTAAAAATTTTATACCTATACAAAAAGGTACCCTAAGTAATGTCACCTGGGATACCTCTTTCCTGCAATTTTTCTTTCATTTTTAAGATAGTTGTTATTATAGTGCATCCCAAAAAAACTATCTAAATCTTATCTAGACTGTCTTCTTTTCTTAATTTCATTTTTCAGTTCAATGTTACCTGGCATAATTCTTTCCTGCTATTATTATTTAATTTTTTTAAACTGGCCAAAACATGTAGTCTAATTTTGTTTCCAGACTTTAACCACGTTACAGATTGGCTAACACATCTGCAAACATTGACATGCATTAATAACTACACGTTTGTCTTTTTGTTTTAGCATTATCATCCGCAATTATCATACAAGATACACAAAACATTTTCATTCGCAAATGTTCATTTAAACATTTAAGGGCCTTAGCTATTTCAATTCAGTTCAATCTGTTTATGACCAATACCATACTGTAAATTTTTTCACATTCAAATTTACTAAACCACAAAAATTTGTTGGATCATGATTTTTTTTATTTATGTTTGATAAATACACGGAATTCGTTCTATTTCCATTATATAACATTTAGCCCCAGTACTTTTTAGTCCATATAATATTTCAAAACAGAAGTTAAATATATTATAAAATTTAGTCTGGCATAAATAATAAAATTAGTGTCTTAATCAGGGACCCGGACCGAAATGAAATATCTGTTCCGGTACGGTTTTGGTTCACCCTATTTTCGTTTTAATGGTTCCGATTCCGGTTTCGGTTTCGTGGAGTTATAACGGTTCGGTTCTTTTCGGTTTTAAGCGGTTCCAGTGAGGTTATTTGTTTTACGTAATTTTAATCTATAACCTCACATATATATATATATATATATATATATGTTATATAATGTTATTAGAATGAAAGCAAATAAAGGTTTCGGTTCCGATCCAACAGATTTTATCAAAAGCGAAGACGGTTCCGGTTCGGGTTTCGGTTCGGAAAAAAAAACCGGTTCCGTTCCGGTTTTCGGTTTTTTTCGGTTTCGGTCCCTGGTCTTAATCCTCCTCTTTCAAATGGTTATCTTAATAGTAAGCTTTTCTTTGATAGATCTCTTTTTTTATTTCTCTAGATCTTTCTTTTCTTCTGTTTTACTATTTATATCCTCTGCCTTTTTTTAATCGCCATTTCCTTTTCATTTTTTTAAATTTAATTGTCGTGGTCATTTTTCCACGTTGTCGTTGTTAAAACATCTTAACGTTTAGGTATTTTTTACGTTCGTTTTCTTCTCATTTCGTGGCCACATCAGGCATGTTTCCAAAGATCTTCTTTAGAACTTGCAGCTTTTGTTGCAGGTACTATTCTAATGTCAGGCAGCACTTTGAGTTTTGGTACACTGATAATTTATTTAGTGTTATCTTATAATAAATTATAATAATCTACAGTAGGTGCAATAGTGTCTTTTATATTATCAAAATTAGTTTATATATAAGGTTCTTTTTTCTAAAATATTTTCATTGGTAACGTCGTGTTTGGTTTGGTCCCCATTTGACTTTTTTTCTTCAGTCTCATTATCAACAGTCTCGTTTGATCATAAATCTATATCGTTTAATTCTGTTTTCGGTTCATGCATGTGAATTTGATTTACCAAATTAACCGTTATCCTTATCATAACGTGACTTAAAAATTATATCATCAAACTGTACTGGCATTGACTTTAATAAGTATTGCATCGTCATTTGTTGCTTCCTGGGGTGCCCCACATTTTTGGTGAACGTTGTAAATATCTAAACTAGGATCAAAGCACTTGTCTTAAAAATAATATTCTAAAACCTTTTTACCAATTTTAAATCACCTTCTGTAGGTTTTTCAGTTTATTAGAAGAAATTTAATTTTGTGTTCGTCGTAGATAAAGTATAGTGTGCAATTCGTTTATAAACTTCTCTAGACACTAGCTCGCAAGTTTAATTCGTACTTAATTAAACTCGAAACTAAAATGAGGTTTATACAACTTGATACATAATATACTATTTCTTTGTGGATGATCATGCATCACCCGAAATCTTACATAATTTCCTTAATGTTCATTCACTGGTAATACTTGTCCTACCATACATACATTTCGTTGTATTAAATTTTGTTCAATTCCATTAAAATAGGTTTTCTAAACCCCTACAAATAGATAATCCCAAAGAAGAATGGTACAGGCAATGCTTACATGGCACATCTTTTAAAATAATGAAATAACAATGAATAAACTTTAAACAAAAATAGTACTTAGGGGCGTACTATGCCGAAACAAACTAATTTCTTAATATTTGGTGAAAAACGTAAAAGAGTTCATTTACTGGCACCTATTCAGTTACTGGTGTACTTACCCTATTAGAAAAACATACTACTGATACCTTGTTTCGTATATAATAACTATTATATTTAAATTCTAAGAACATGCATTATTTATTATTTATTATTATCAGCTAAAAAAACTATATTTTAACCAAATTTAAATAAATATAAATAACATAAATTTTACTACAAAAAATAAAATTATTAATAACTAGCTAATGCTAATAGAAGATGTAAATTGTATACCTAATGTTATATTAGGTAATTTAAAATATGAAATTAAAAAAACAACATGGTAATTGGAAACCTACTTGGATTTTGAAATTGGCATAAACACAATTACTAATTATAATCAAGTAAAGTATGCTGAATTTATTTTTGTAATAAATCCAAAATTAAATCAACTATCATATTATTAGCTGTTTTTTTGCTTATCTAATTCCAACCTAGTTATAAACAAAATGTAAAATGCGCATGATAAATTTTAAAATGCCTAGGATGTTCGAACTAAACTGCGCACCACTCAATGTGTCGCGACCAAAAAGATCGTCCTTTTTCAAAACGACATAACTTTTTTGTTTCTTGAACGATTTTATTTTGGTGTGTGCTTTCTGCTAGCCCCATCCTCTGGCAATTCATGCTATAGATATGAAGCTCACAGTTCTTCAAGTAAATTTCGTACAGGGTGATATGTAAAAAGGTTAAAAATTTTAATAACTTCCAAAATCCAAGCCCCGTTTGTAAAAAATAATTTTTTTCTCGTTTTTACTTTGAAATAATGAAGTATTATGTCTTACCTTGAAAAGGTTTTCAATTTTTTCGTATTGGAATCTTAGCAAAGAAAATATGATTTTTTTTAGAAAGAGTACATTCAAGGGTTTTTGGTAGGCAATACACTCTTTTTAAGAACAAGAAGATAAGATGGTGAAAGATTGTTCCTTGAATAATTCTGAACAAGCGACAAGCAACAAACTTCCATTATTTTCAGAGGGGCCTAAGCAAAGACCACTTTTTCAAAATGACATTTTTGTGAAAATTTGCGAAAACTAATCCTGAACCGATATTTACGTTTGTGACAGGATTTCTTTATAATTTTGACCTCCTGATTGATCAGTTGTCAAATTTAAGTTTCATATAAAAACAAAATCACTAAGAATCAAAATTCGAAAACAATTCCCGGCTGTTAAATTGCCTACAAAAAAGCCTTAAATGTACTCTTTAGGAAAAAAATCATATTTTCGTTGCTACGATTCCAATTCGAAAAATTTGAAAACCTTTTCAAGGTAAGACATAATACTTCATTATTTCAAAGTAAAAACGAGAAAAAAATTATTTTTTACAAACGGGGCTTGGACGAAGTTATTGAAATTTTTCACAGTTTAACATATCACCCTGTAAGAAATTTACTTGAAAAACCTTGAGCTTCATATCTATATCATAAATTGCCAGAGGATGGACATCACAGACCAAAATAAAATAGTTCAAGAAACCAAAAAGTTATGTCGTTCTGAAAAAGAACGAACTTTTTGGTCGCGACACATTGAGTGGTGCGCAGTTTAGTTATGAATAGTATTTTAATATCCCATAGTTTCTCCTTCCTGGGTACTTTGTATACAAGGAAGTGTCCAACCCAACAAATTGGAAAAATATAATTATGAATAAAAAGCAATAATGATTAAACAAATTTTAATATAATTTACTGAAATACAAGTAAAAGATGTACAAATCAAAAAATAAAATTGAAATACATAATATACAATTTAATAAGCAGTTATATTTTCATATAATAAAAAAACAGTTTTAAAATAAAATACCTACTTTATTATCGTTTTATCGAAATTTTAAACGAAATTAATTTAACCTTCTAAAATTTAAGAAATGTACATGAAATGATAGCTTGCGTTGTGGTTATTTATGCTAAACATCCTTAAAAATTTCCTCATAATGAGGGCCTCATTACAGAAAAATAATTTAAATCCTAAATATCTATTTCCTTTATTCCATCATTTACGTATTCTATTTTATGTATTATAATAATTATTGTAACATAATATTCAAATTATAATTTTAGGCCTTCAAAGATGTTTCCATTGTCGATCAAGAGGTGAATTGGGTAGCTGTAAGGACCCTTTTACCCATAATACTACGTTGGTAGAAATGAAACGTGAAGTTGGAGTAGAAATAGTTCCTTGTGCATCTGGATGGTGCGGAAAAATCGTAGAATCAGAAAGTTCTGCCAAAGAAGGTAAGAAAGTTCCTTAAAGGATATATACAAGGTGTATTTTTCTGTTCGTAAACGTCTAAAATGTACCCATATGCAAATTAGTAATCAGCTGTCAAAAAGGTTGCATTTGTTTTGGTATGAACGCCCAAGCTCGAGCCCATAAACGAATTAAAAGAAATGTGTCCTACAAGTACAATGTCGTTTTTATAATATTATATCAATATGAAACAATCCCGATTTTGCCTCACGATTGCTTGTTTGTTAAAGTCATGACCTTAATATTCCTCAGACCCGTTTGAATTTTGTTCCCAAAAACTAAAAAAACTTAAAAATATAGATAACCAAAGCCAGTAATATTCCTGGGAATATTCTCCTAACCATACTTAAGACTTATGCATGCCACTACATGGAATATTATTTTTATGATGAATGGGTTAATCAAAAAGCGGATATTTAATTACGCCAGAAATATTCCTTGGAATAATCCTGGGAATATTTCTGACAGGGCACATTTCTAGAGAGGAGTGTGTAAGTGTGTAATATTCAAGATTATTTTGGGAGAATAAAATTTACGAATAACTAATACATTTCTCAAAAAATCGAAAATGTCTGTTACTTTTTGAACACACCTCTTATTTTCCTAATTTAATTGAATTATGGTGCTTTTTTCAAATTATTATGTCTAAAAATTATATTTTAAATTTCTTAAAACAAATTGTTTTATTTTTGTCCATAGAAATTTGGAACACAAAGTGTTATTCATTTCTTTGCAATTAACTTAAATGTTCTTGTATACGGGTAAAATCAATAAAAAGCTCATTAATTTACTACTTTTACTAGGTACCATCAAATAAAATTAAAAATATTTAGGTTAGCTTTACTTTAATATATATATATTTATATCAAAATATCCACTTTAAATTGATACATAATTTACTTGTTTACCTAATCGCATTTAGTGCCAAACAATAAAACAATTTACCTTTTTATCAAAGTAATAATTAATAGCCATTACTACATAATTGCCATAGTGGCAGGTATAATTAATTCGATGTTTTTTTTATTATTTATTATTGTTAAACTATGCATCATAATGCATGACAATAGTTTTTTATCATATTTTAGTTAAAAACAAAAATATATTTTAAAATTTTTATTGAGAAATATTTCCTTCAATATTGGAATTGTATTGTTTTTATAAAGCCCCTTCCATTATTAAGTTCAGATTTAATTTAAGTACAATTTGCAATTTATTTTTAAACTTTCAATTACTAAGCCTTAAAATCTTAAACCCTTTAAAGAAATTGTATGATAACTTTTGGAAGAGCGACTTTAAATTTTGTTCTTAAACGTCGACCTTAATAGCCAGGGAGGTAGCGACAGATTTTTTGCGTTAATAAATATAATTAATTGATTAGCTTTAAAGCTATATTTTTGCCCATCATAGTTTAGACAGTATTAATTATAATAGTTCAAGTCTAGCAAACTTGGTGGTGAAAAAATAAGAACAACATACTTGAAATATTATTTTCCGGTATGATTTTATGTTATCTGTGATTATGTAAAGTTCCAATCATATTTATAATACATTTTTCAACATGTTTAATTTTATCTTATTTATGCACCACTAAATGTTTGGTAACTTTAATTATTAGTACTGTCTAAAACATCATTTACGTTATTACTTTAGCATAAGTAGGTACTAATGTTTTTTAATAAAAAGTCATAAAAATTAACGTCATTCTTAGGTATTTGTTTGGCACGACACTGGATTCCTTTAAAGTTTAAATGTTGATTATCATGATTTTTTATTAAAACACAGTAATACTAGTACTAGTACTAATGCAAAAGTGTTATTGGAAAATTTTGCTTATTTTGGCGTAAACCAACTGTTATATTTTTTAGGTGTAGGTGTATTTGAAATACAGTATTTTTATAATCATTTAAATTATTAAATTGTTTCAAAACATTTCAGAAAAAACTAAAATTTAATCAAGCTGCATCATAAATATTAAATATATTCAACTAATAATATATTTGTTAAAGAAACAATATAAGAGTCCGAATTTTAGGCGATGAGAACATATTTGAATGTAAAATAATAGCAAAGTTCTATATTCAATTTAAAAATTTACCAGAATACTTGGTACGCTATTCGTCAATCATCTATAAAACTTTCATAGCAAACCGAGCAGGATGAAAGTTTTGTAGAAGATTAACCAATTGGTACGTACTTAAAAGTACGTACGCACAAAATGTTTGTTCTGGTGAATTGGTAAAATAAATGTAATAGAGTAAAAAAAATTAAAGATAATATATCCATGTTGCCAGGCGTCAAAAGTTGATTTCATGTTCTTCAAAAATAGTCAAAAACTGAAAACAACCAATTTTTTATCTAAAGATATTTGCGGATCAAAGAAAAAAATATTCTTGTACAAGAGGTGGTGTGGTTTTTGATGGGTTTGAAGTTTTTAAAACACGAACAATCATTCTTCATCTTCTTGTAATTTGCCTAAAATTTGGTCTCTTTTATATAGTTTTACCTTAATCCAATAAATTAGTAATTCCTTTTGTTTAATATTTATCAACGTATGAGAGTTTTTTAAATACATATAAATAAGTTTACCTAAATCACGATGGTCTATTAATTGTGTTATTGCCTTTGTATACCTACCTACTTATATACAAACAAAATGACTGATCACCGACTGATGAAAGTGGCTAAATATTATACTGTAGTTATTGGATTATGGCCGGTAAAGTTAACTGGGGTGAAATTAAAGATTTATAATAGTTATTTTTACATAGGGTAATATAAATATATGCACCTATATGTGATGTGTAATGAGAAAATTGCATAAACGATCGAAAACTGTTAGGTATACCTATACAAAAGAAGTTGTAGCACTCAACTTTAATCTTCGATTAGAAGTCTATTTTATAATCTCTATGTTAAAATTCTCGTGCTACATCACATATTTACTTTGTTAAACTTGCAATACCTACTTATCAACTTATTTAATTTAAATTTAGATTGGTGTATTTTATTATCTTCAACATTACTCAAATAACTGAAGGCATTCTGGTATTCGGTAAAGATTTAAATTAGTCCGGTCAAAATAGACATTTCAAATAACAAAAATTCCGACAGAGCTAAATTTTGGTAGAGACCTTGGGTACACCAGTAGAAATAAAGTGCCAAAAATCCCCATTGATCCCATGTGTGCTAAAAAAGTTACTCAAGGTCAAAGAAAAAAATTTCGGTTTTTTTATTTTTCTCGAAAACGGTAAGTTTTATAAAAAATATATTCTGGACAAAAATTGTAGATCATAAAATTGTCTACAAAAATTTTCCTTATACTTTTTTTCCTAAGAATTACCATTCCTATGATATCGCCATTCTAAAAGTTGAAGGAGTTACATTCTACATGATATCCACAGTGTGCATATACGTGGTATTTGTGTGCATTGCGGCGGTTTATCTTGGCGGTTGCTTGGTAACGAAATCAACAAACTTATGATTTATTATCTATGGGTCATATTCCTGCTTTTCTCAAGTGGTTAAGTGAAATACTTTTAGTGTTGAACGTTCCTTTCGGGTGAATACGAGTGAATACATATATTTATTGCTAGCGTCTACTATTACAGTTTGTACCCAATAATATTTTTTTTAATGTCACAATTGTGCTTTATTTGCAATAAACTTTTGACGGAAGGTGAAGCTGTTACAGTTAGTCGTGGAATGAAAACTTTGATCGATGCAAGTACCGAAAGAGGTGATGAGTTTGTTGATTATCTGAGAAGTGAAAAGTCTGTAACAATTCACGTGGATTGCCGAAAATCATACACCCGGAAAAATTTAATTGCTGCTATCAAAAGACAACATAAGGATGGACAAGCTAGTACATCAAAAGTAAGTCCACCTCGTACTAGAGCACGAGAAAGTGAATCCGACTTTTGTTTTAAAAAATGTTGCGCCGGTGATGAAGCGGATGAAGAGGCTAAAAAAAAATCGCTACATCGTCGACAAAAAATGTATAACGTTGCTACACTTTCATTTAAAGAATACGTTTTGACAGTAGCTCAGGATCGTTCTGATTACGTATCAAAAGCTGTCACTGAACGCATTAATTTTGAGTATGATTTAGTTGCTGCTGAGGCCAAGTATCATGACAATTGTTACAAATCTTTCCTGAGACCTAATACTGGCAGTAGAGGCGATGGAGGAAATTTATAATTTTATAGAAGGTAGTGATGATTGCCTGTTTACATTGGACGAACAAAAGAATGTTAGTAAAAATGTAGCTTTAGATAAGAAAACTATAAAAATACGATTAAAAGTAAAGAATGGTAGTAGAATTATTATTACAGAAAAGCCGGGAAAATTAACATTTATTTGTTTCGTCGACAATTACCAAGACATTTTAAGTCAAACCTGGTCTGATAAAAAAAACTTAAATAAAAAAAGAAACAGCAATTGAACAACTCAATGCAACAAATACAACCGTTGTGGTTCGTAAAGGTGTTGATTTGTTAGTACTACTTACTGCACGGACTCCAATTGATAAAATTATTTTCTTTTTAAAACCTGGAAAGGCTCAACAGTGAACAGAAATATACTCCTCAAAAAGTTTATCTGCTTATCCAAAATGCCAAAACCATATTTTATTTTTACATGCGATAACCGGCTGCGATACTACATCAGCAATGTTCAGAAGGGGTAAAACATCAGTATTAAAATTATTTGAAAAAATGGATTTAATTGATTGCGCTAAAGTATTTGAAGAAATTGAATCTTCTCCTCAAACGATAATTACAAAAGGAATTCGCTTTCTCCTTGCTGTTTATGGAGCTCCAAAGAAAATTGATTGTATAGACAAGTATAGATATTTAACTTTTGTAAAAAAATACACGGAACAAGAAACAAGTACAACTATAGTTGTATAGATATATCTTGTCTTCCTCCAACATCGGCTTCCACACACTTGTATCGAGCATTTTATCAGGTTCAGACATGGCTA